TTATAAGTGCAAAAAAAAAAAAAAAAAGTGTAAGAAAAAGGCTCAGATGCATAAAATTGTGAAAGCTAAAAGATAAACAAAACAGCATTCGGAAAATCATTATCCAGATATATATTCTCATACGCCAGCAGTGTACCTTTAACTCCCTGACTGCAAAACTCCTCAATAAATGTGGTAATGTTCTGGCACAGGTGTGATTTGAGTCCTTGTGTGTCGCATCCTCTAAATGGCTTCCTCTCATTCTACTAACATTTTGGCGGCGCTGATCTGTGGAAGATTCACTTTGACGTCAGCCCCAGTTATAAAAGTAGATCTTCTGCCAAATGGGCAAGTACTCCATCAGCGGACCTGAGAGTACAGGAAAAATCCAGTCAGGACGTATCTCAGAGCTTTTTTAAAGCTTTTAGTGTGACAGCATTGAACATCCGTTGTGTGAGATGTATACGGCACTTACGCGCAACCAAACCGACTCCGGGAACATAATCTGCCAAGAAGTGAAGAAGGAAGAGGATCTTTGTCCTGCGAATATAAAAGAGACATTAGATATGGGAACAAAAAGCACCATTATGCAGTAAAAGTGTGCATTGTTAAATCTAAATAGATATTTTGTAAAACTCAATTTGTATATTTTCTGGAGAAAATATAGTGTAGCTGTGCGATGCCAGGAGTTGGTAAGGTGTTCTGATTGGTTGCTATGCCTATATTGGATTTTATTTGACTAATTTTATTGTAAATTTGAACTCTGACAAGTTGAGATTGTTTCTGTGTTGGAACAGATTTAGAGAAATTTAGCATTGCATCACTTGCTCACCAATGGATGCTCTGCAGTGAATGGGTGCCGTCAGAATGAGAGTCCAAACAGCTGATAAAAACATTACAATAATCCACAAATAATCCACACCACTCCAGTCCACCAATTAACGCCTTGTGAAGAGAAAAGCTGTGTGTTTGTAATAAAAAAACAGAATAAAGCATTTTAACTTTAAACAGTCGCTTCTGCCAAAAAATACCAGTCTGTAATCCATAATAGCGCTTTCTCCAATGAAAAGGTCCATTCCATGTTGTCCTCTCACATCAAAATCCAACAACATATTTGTTTAGAACCGTTCTGGACTGTTTTGACTTGTAAACACTGCTTGATCTGTGTGTATTTCTCTCCTGATTCAGACTAGATAACTTTTTCACTGGAGAGAGCAAATATTATGACTCACATTTTGCCCAGAAACAATGGTTTAAAGATCTTACTGACATGCAGCTTTTTAGTTCACAAGTCATTAATCGATGGACTCATGTGGATTAGTGTGATGATTTATCAGCTGTTTGTACTCTCATTCTGACGGCACCCATTCACTGCAGAGGATCCATTGGTGAGCAAGTGATTTTCCAAATCTCTTCTGATTAAGAAAAACTCATCTACATCTTAGATGGCCCAAGAGTGAGTAAATTTTTAGTTTTGAGTGAATTATTTTAAACTTAAGGATTTGAACAAAACAATACCAGAAGTGCATCACATGAGAAGACTACACTAATGCAACAGATGCAATGAAGGAGACACTGACTCAGAGTATCGGTCATAGAAGGGGGAGCGGAGCAGGTAGTAGAGGAGAAGGAAAGCCCGTCTCCTCATCTCAGCCCTCTCTCTGCGGTTCAGCGTCTTGAAGTCACTCAACAAACCGAAACTGTACAGAAAACAGCATAAGATAACTTCTTTAAATCTTCAGAGACAGACTGAGGACTGAGAGAGAGAAAGAGAGATGCAAAGCACTCTGTACCTGGTTATCTCTAAGAGACCAGAGATGATCCAAGGTTTCCAGGAACGTTTTCCGCAAATCCCAAGACTGGCCACTTACAAATGTTAAGGGTGATGGATGACAAAATGTTCAAATAACTTAATCACCATTGCAAAAAAAAAAAAAAATCATTTTCCAGATCAATCTTTTTTCTACATAAATTCACTGGTTAAAAAGAGTGGGAACCTTGAAAAACATTTAACTCTTAAAACTTCTGGAATCCTGAAATTTATTTACATAAAACTAAAAGCGTCGCCCTTCAAACATTGTTTTGGACAATAGGAGACAAAACGGTTGAGAATCACTGCACTAGAACATTATTGTTATTTTTTTTTTTTAAATAATCATTGTATTTCATTTTATTTTAAGAGTTTGTTTTACCATGTTGTGAAGAACAAGATGTGCAGTCGGTCACATAAGATGACACTTCAAAACCAAGCATCAGCAGTGGACCGAACATGCAAGTAAGTAGTAAACTTATTAGGGATGTAACGATTTATGAAATGACATTTCTGCCATATGTACATTGACTGACAGTCACCACTGATGAGCTACCACTAAATATTGCAGAAACTTAATTTTCTGTAAAGTTGCTTTGCAATGATTTGTATCGTGAAAAGCGCTGTACAAATAAACTTGAATTGAATTGAATTGAACGATTCACTCAACTCACAATGCGATACGATTCATGATACTGATTTCACAATACGATTTTCTCACGATTTCTTGAACAAAATGACTTTTAAGACAAATTATAAATGAAAAGGTGTCCTTTTATTATTTCTCAGACAAAATGCTGCACATTTCTTTGCAAACTTGAAATATGTCAAATAACAAAACTATATTTTAAAACAAATAATAAATACAAATGAAAGTAATCTCTCTGAAATCTCAAACTAAGGCTTTGCCTGTGCTCTTCTATATTTAAAATTAGAGGCAACCACTGCATTTTAGTCACAATCCAAACAAAGATGCTGCATACATGCAGCATGAGCAGTTTTTCTTTAATTTAAATTAGACTGTATAATTTCAAATTTGTAGGAAAAACAGAATGCTCTGAGTTTAGCTTTGTGAAATTATGCTACATATCTGAACGAAACAAAAACAGCAGACGGGCTGAATGAAAACGCAAAATTCACTCTGACAGCAGGTGGCGCTTATGGAACAGCAGCAATACAGCGTTTCCTTGGTTACCGCTGGGCTTATAAATATTACATTAATATGCTTTATACAGAGGCAAAATGAAAAGAATACCATCTAAACTATTCTGAAGACAGGCAGTTCTCCTCAGAGATCCATTCATATAAACCCCCACCCACAAATGTATCACGATTCATTTAACATCTCAACCGACTTGAATCGTCACATATTCTTATGGATTTTCAACTCGCTCAGAGTGCCAGAGTGACTCCCACTTATCTGAGTTTTCAGATTGTTCCTACACCCTTGGGAATAAATGAACTATTTTGGCTATCCTAGGATAATATTATACACTAATATTGTTGTGAAAATTGTCATAAAAAAGAAAATTAGCAGAAAGGATACAATGAACAAGCGGCCTTGCGATGTACAGGGACTCTGCGATGGTTTCCTGCAGACCCAGAGGTGTGGGGCTTGAGTGAAGCTCCTCTTCTCGATTCCTATTTTTTGTGTTTTTCCGAGGGAGACCCCAAAGACGAGACTGTAACGATGGTGCTAGGAAAAAAAAAAAAGGACACAATATAACTTTCCATCGCAAAACTTTTTGATACACTGGGTTTGTATTGTCAAGTCTTACCGCTTCCCAGTGGTCTCACCACTCTTCCTGAACGCTGGCCCACAAAAGAAGTGTCCTCATCATCTTCTTCTGCATTGTTCTCTGTGAAGGGAGATCTTTGTATGAGCAGTGCACAGGAAACCACTTTTCGACATAAAAAACGCACAGCACATTGACTGCAGGAACAGAAAGTTCCTTTTGAGTCTCCCGGTGTTACGCTCAATGGCACATCGCAGAAACTCCACGGGCTCTGGCTCAACTGAACTACACAATCACAGCTTATCTGCACAGGCCATATACTGTACTTATTGTCTCACACAGTGTTTATTTATTGTCATCAGTGGGAGTGTTTTTGTACTTATTGCTGTGCGTTAATTGTTGTTGTGACTGTGCTAAATGACCTGCATGGTGGTTTCCAGAGACACTTTAGTTTGTTTCATTTCCTGCCATGCAGTGGAAAAAAAGCAATAAATTAACGTTGACTTCTGAGTTTGAAACCTTTGTGTTAGTATAATTACCTTTATGCATTTGGCAGACTATTCAAAGAGACTTACATTGCATTGAAGGTATACATTTGATCACTTCTTGCGTACTTTGGGAAACAAACCCATGACCTTGGCATTGCTAGCTTCCGACTCTACTGTTTGAGCTACAGGAACATGCAGCAGCCAAGATCACTAAAGGTGATGTGTGATTTTATCAATAAAAAAAATCTTGTTACAAATAATGAAGGCATGTTCTCCACACAGTTTTTCACCAAACAAACGCATGGATTAATTTTATTTAATAACTTAATATGTATATGCACCATTTATATGTACATAAATAAAATAAAATAAAAAACACATTTCATATTATTTTATTTAAAATCCATTTTAGACATGATCAAAGACTATTTAATTGCGGCTGATTTGTTGATTGTACCCCCAAAAACTGCTCTGTATTTTTGTATTCTTCATATATCCCATTCATTTCCTATGGCAATCATTTTTGACTGCAAAGATCACAAATATGATAATTTTTTAAGACCATTTATCCTTATATAATCATGTCCACAATTTTTTTTTGTGTTCATATAGCAAGTCAGCAAGTTTTTTACCATTACGATTAAGTAAAACATTTCAAAAATTCAAAATGTAACATTTTTCGGACTAAAATGACCAGAACACTAGAGGGTTAAACTTTCAGAAAAGGCTTAGTTAAGTCAACATTCCATTGTTTGTTTTCTTGTTATTTTTGCAAACCTCTTTTCAAATATTAATACACTTGTGACACTTCTCTATGACATCTCACCTTGACTACAGAGCTGAGAATCCCTGTCCAGAGGAATTATAGGTGGTGACGTCTGGATGCCCGATTTGTACCAGAAAAGCAAGAGACAACGCAGGATTGCTCTAAAAACACAAGAGAGAATGGAAAAATGGGAGGTCAGGATGTGTAAATGATGATAATATTCTCCTGGTCAACTACCCTTTAAGTATACTCAAACAGGGTCCTTACTTGGCAATCTGAATAAGAACAATAACTAGCCAGCGTCCAGCTTCGCCCCACAGCTTGGCAGCCCCCATCTCAGTGAATACCTCCACATACTCCAGTACAGACAACCAAGTTAACAGTCTCTGTTGAGAGAGAGTCTACATACACACACACACACACACACACGATCAGGTCAAAACGCATTCAATTTGTTCAATGTCTGAAATGTTCAATATTTTTCTTAATGTTTAAATCAAAATGAAAGAGGTTAGCTGTATTGTAATCTCAGTCTCAGAGTGAATTTCAGAAATTCATAACCTAATTTAATGATGCAGAGTTAAAAATTATCAATAAAAACTTCACAAAATAAATATAGTAAATAGATATATATATGTAAGAACCTCCACATACTCCAGTACAGACAACCAAGTTAACAGTCTCTGTTGAGAGAGAGTCTACACACACACACACACACACACGATCAGGTCAAAACGCATTCAATTTGTTCAATGTCTGAAATGTTCAATATTTTTCTGAAATGTTCAATATTTTTCTTAATGTTTAAATCAAAATGAAAGAGGTTAGCTGTATTGTAATCTCAGTCTCAGAGTGAATTTCAGAAATTCATAACCTAATTTAATGATGCAGAGTTAAAAATTATCAATAAAAACTTCACAAAATAAATATAGTAAATAGAAATATATATATATATAGGGGCTGATTAAGCATTTTTTTAACTCGGTAAAAAAATCGGTATCGGCTCTCCTAAGCCCGATCCTTATATTGCGTCAGCTGTCATGCCGGTGTCGTGCAATAGGTGGCGGTATGGACCTTTGTTCAATGTCTGAAATGTTCAATATTTTTCTTAATGTTTAAATCAAAATGAAAGAGGTTAGCTGTATTGTAATCTCAGTCTCAGAGTGAATTTCAGAAATTCATAACCTAATTTAATGATGCAGAGTTAAAAATTATCAATAAAAACTTCACAAAATAAATATAGTAAATAGATATATATATGTAAGGGGCTGATTAAGCATTTTTTTAACTCGGTAAAAAAATCAGTATCGGCTCTCCTAAGCCCGATCCTTATATTGCGTCAGCTGTCATGCCGGTGTCGTGCAATAGGTGGCGGTATGGACCTTCAAGTGAGTTTGCCAACCACCATTAAAAGGAATAGAAGATTTCAAATGTGCTTGCGTGACATACGAGAACCGATGAAGTCTGTTCTAGCGGGTCACACACACTTTCCAGCTTCTGTGTTTAACGTATTTGATGCACATCAAAAGAATCACTCAAAAGTAATTTATTTACGGTTTACTTTTATCTGCCATCAGACTATCTGAGACGTCGTTGTCATAAAGCATTGCTGTGGGTTGCGTCTTGCTTTGGACTTGACTGACAGACTGGCATTTTGACACCGTGAGCTTCATGCTTTCTAACCTTATCTCCACTTTTTTTCCCTTTAAGTTGCAATTATTCTGCTTATTGTACATATAAAATACAAGAAGTTTATATCAGTAGTCCCATATTCATAATTGTGACCACACAGTCTGTATTTAATGTGTGCACCAAGCACTAGGAAAATACAAGTATCGGATTGGTATCGGCAGATACTCAATTTTCAATGACACAGATTGGATCGGGGACACAAAAAACCTGATCGGGACATCCCTAATATAGACTGTGACTGGGCCGTTTATATGTCAATCAGATGGTCTATTTTAGTCTAAATGGCAGTTCTTGGCTAGAATAAGCTTCAATGAGGACTAGACATTATGCCGTTTAGTCTGGCTGGAGACTAGTTGAACTATCACTCAATATAAAGTCAAACAGCTTCTGAGGAGGTCCATTAAGGTCATGGCTCAAATGCCCAAAGCTGTAAATGCAAACTGTAAATTCTTCCTGTCACCATGGCTAAGCCGTTTTGAAAGTAAAGATAAATTTGTCTCTCAAGCACAAACATAAAGGGAAAAAACAATGAAGGAGCTTTGTAAACTGTGCTTGCTCCCAAAAATTGAGTGTGTTTGTTTGCAGGGGTCAGACGTATTTTTCACATACTGCCCATTTCAAAGCCGTTTTGAGCAATACCAGGCTGCCATCAGCGGGACAAAAAGGTGGATAACAACAAGTCTATTGCAGCAGAACAGTGACAGAGTTGGGACAAAATAAATTTTTTTGACAATGCGCAGTCAACGAAAGCAGCAGGCTGTGACTTTGAACACATTAAGCTTGGCACAACTTTGAATCTTCTCTCTTGAAGCAGAAACAGACTGTGCTGTTTCTATTGTTTCACAAATCGAAAACTCTCATTCATAGATAATTTTATGGTGGTTGCCATGCCAACTGCACATGCATCAGTCCTTATGCAAGTGTGATGATAAAGTAGGGAATAAAAAGAGAAAGAATAGGTAATTTCATGGAAAAATCAAAGTTTCCTGGATCTTTTAATAGATAAAAGAGCTTGACGTAGCATGAAAACATAATGTAACTGTCAGAACTCTCTAGTTTAAAGAGCATTTTAAACTATGCTAAAAGGAAGTTTTCTGATGTCAAAGAGTGGTTGAAGTTTACTTTTAACTAAGTCCCTGATCATTTTAGTCTGCCTAATTGTTTGCATGATGCAATACTAGTTGTATTGTTTTATTTTTTGTGTGAGTGAAGATAGTGCTTCCTAAAGGCACAAGAGCATAAAAATGCCAGTGAGGAGGTGAAAAATGAAACAAAAAAGCATTTACTAATAGTATAAGATGAAATTTTTTTTATAATTTATACAACCCCTTTAAGGGACATGCATTACCATAGGCAATGTCCGAGAGAGATTCTTCCTCAAGATACCATCGTTCAGCAGCACTAGAAGGTTAGATGCCGAGTAGACTGCAAATCAAAGTGAGAAACACATAATTCACAGCAGAATTCATAGAGAGACATGCTCTTAGATCAACATTAATACAAAAGAAGATGATATAAAGCAGTGAATCCTACCCAACTCTGAGATTTCATGAGAGTCTGAGAAGCGACCTGTAATGAGAGAAGTCATAACTTTATATAATATCAAAATGATGAAAGCTTCAAAGTTCCTATTTAGTTAGTGCAAGAGAGTAAAATTTCACCCAAAACCTATGCATCTAGAGCTATAAACTAAAGGGTGGTTACTTTGAAGAGCTTAAATATAAGAAGATTTAAATAGATTAGCTTTTTTAGTCAGTGCACAGATAAAAAAAAAAAGAGAATAATATAAATAATAAATAAATAAAAAATAGTGATAAATTTTTAAAAAAGTAGGGATGTAACGATTAACCGCGAGCCGGTTGAAAATCGATTCAAATATGTGACGATTCAATGCAATGACTAGTGAGTGTAAAGTTTCAATACTTCATTTTAAGTTATTTCGAAGTTTTGATGACTTTTTTTCTAAAATGTGAACATAGTAGCTATAAAAATGAGTACGTGTGTCCAAACTAATAAAGAACTCATTGCACAATAAACGGGTCGGCATGACAAGTCAAACAGTAGGCGCGTTTCCATTACAGATTTGCGCAAAACGTTGGCGATATTTTATAAATGTCGATAAAAAAGTATTGCGAAATGACGGCGTTCCCATTAACCAATGTATTGAGACTTAAACGTAACCTTTTGCCTCTCGCGATAAGTCATGGCATTTGCGCAATTTGAAGGGTAATGGAAACGCGCCTAGTGACAGCCATGTGGCATGCTAAATCTAAAACTCTAAAACTACTGAAACAACATTTTCTGCGTTTTTATAATGCCATGTTAATTATGCTACATGAAATATTTGTACTTGTAGAAATGTATTTATGTAAACAGCAAAAAGAATGCATGCAAAATCCACCTCCCGCATACATTTGATATTGATGTTGTTGGAAGAAAACAAGTAACCAGATACAAAAGATAACAACATAATACAGAAATTTGCATACTGAATAAACATACATCTAGCTTTACTCTTACACGACACTGTTGTATAAGACGTGAGCGATTATGTTTACTTTCACTTTGACGTGCGGAGTCTCTCACCTGCAATCAGGTAGCTCAGCGCGCGACCTGCGCTCTCCAGATGAGACGCGGCTGCCGGGTTCGACCTCACATACTCCTGATAACGCTCATAAATACGACTTAATTTATCCATGTAGAGCACCGACATCAAAGCCAAATTAATACATTCCCAATCACACACAACACATCGCAAGAAACACACGGAGAACGACACTTCCGCGTATGCAGGCGTCTTCCTCCGACGCCACTTCCTGTACGGCGAGCGCGCGCGCCATTTAAAGTCGCAGTAACCTGCTTAAATTCCATTTTCGTTTGCGTTTCTAATACATCCAAACAAAGCGGTTTATTGAAGATGAACAGAAGTTAGTGTGCTTAAGTATGTCTGTATACCCGGAGAACGGTGTCTGTTGGCATTCTCAATAGCAGATAGTCAGATGACAGGAACACTCCAAAATATGTGATTTTAAATCAATGCCAATAACCCGAACCGTGTAAGGCAGGGGTGCCCAAGCTCGGTCCTGGAGGGCCGGTGTCCTGCAGATATTTTTGTAGAGTTTATTTATTTATTTTTGTAATTTTTAGGAACAATTGCTGTGTTCAGAATATGCATCCTTATGATCTGCTACAAAAATATGCTGACAACAGAGCATACCACACTGAGTACTATCATAAATACAGTATAGTACTGAGTACTATCATATTGAATTAAAATGTTTAGCATTTCATAATACACACTGTATCACATGCTATTTTTAAGAGTACAGCAGTTCGTTTTACAGTGTTTACTGTGCAGGGTTCACTAAGTATGCTTGTCTGAACATGTTCTCTCTTTGAATCGGTAATCTTCTAAAACCTCTTCAATGGGTCAACAGCGCAGACAGGGATTAGAAAACCTCTAGATGCATGACCCAAAAATTTAATATAGCCCACAACCATCATCAGCGCTTTCAAATGAACTGGAATTAATTGAGCATATGCGTTTATAGAAGCAATCCACTTTCATTTCTTTAAAAGGTTAATGATCCATTTCTCACTTTATGTTAATAACTGAACACTAGAGGTTGCAAAGACTCACAAGTAAGTCCAAGCATCACCAGAGTGTGGCTGGAGCAGCAGGAAAAATAGCCATTAAAATTCCTAGACAGTTTTGCACCCTTGATGGGAATGCGGGAAGGATGTGTGCGCCTGGTATTCCCTACCTTATGTCCCCACAACACACTACAGCAAAAGATAGAAATAACTGACTTAAAACCATTTTATGACTTTTTTCCAAACATGAATGTTTTGCAATTATTTCCAATCCATCTTGTCATTTTAAACTGTTGTTTTGTCAGTGGAACAACAACAAATATTTTGAATTTTTCTTTGAAAATCAAAAATCAAAGGTATTTTCTATACAGTGACTTAATGTTTATAGAATAGACTACTGTCAAAGGTTGGGAATAATTAAGATATTTTTATGCTTTTGAAAGAAGCCTCTTATACTGACCCCGATAGCTATGAAATGTTTTGAGCAGCTTGTCATGAATCATATGAAGTCATGCCTCCCAACTAGTTTGGACACATTACAATTTGCATATAAAGCGAACCTTCTATACAGTGACTTAATGTTTATAGAATAGACTACTGTCAAAGGTTGGGAATAATTAAGATATTTTTATGCTTTTGAAAGAAGCCTCTTATAGCTGACCCTGATAGCTATAAATGTTTTGAGCAGCTTGTCATGAATCATATGAAGTCATGCATCCCAACTAGTTTGGACCCATTACAATTTGCATATAAAGCGAACCGGTCTACGGAGGATGCCCTATCCACTCTGCTCCACCTCACTCTGACACATCTGGAAAATAGGAATACTTATGCCAGAATCTTGTTAATTGATTTCAGCTCTGCGTTTAATACAATCTTGCCACAACAGCTTATTGAAAAGTTGTTGTTGCTGGGTGTGGATCCTGGCATATGCAGATGGATTCTGGACTTTTTGACTGAGACGGCAGACAGTCCGATTGGGCAGCACAACATCTAAGATGACTACAGTGAGCACAGGATCACCACAAGGGTGTGTACTGAGCCCTTTACAGTTTACGTTGCTAATGCATGACTGTTCTGTGAGTTTCAGTACTAATCATATCATAAAGTTTGCGGACGACACCACAGTTGTTGGCCTCATCACTAACAACGATGAGTCTGCATATAGACGGGAGGTGACGCAGTTGACAGAGTGGTGTAAAATACACAAGCTTACCCTTAACACCAATAAGACCAAGGAGATGTTGTCGATTTCAGGAAGACTGGTCATCGGCATCATCTCCCACTGACCATCAATGGCCATGAGGTAGAGAGGGTACACAGTGTCAAGTTCCTGGGGGTCCATCTGACGGATGAGTTGACCTCCAGTGACAACACCAAAGCTGTCATCAAGAGGGCCCAACAGCGACTTCACTCTCTCCGCAGACTGAAGAAGGTTGATCTTCCTATCCCAGCCATGATTATGTTCTACAGAGGCACTATTGAAAGCATGCTCACTTAACTGTATCGCTTCCTGGTTTGGTTATAGCACAGCAGAGGAGAGACATAAACTGAACAGGATAGTAAGGACTGCTGAAAAAACTATTGGTGTCTCGTTGCCGTGTTTGCAGGACATTTACACTGAATGCTGCATGTGCAGAGCAAATGGCATTATAAAGGAATCTACTAATTTCTGTCATTATATGTTCACACTCTGGTAAAAGATACAGAAGTATCAGATCAAGGACTTCTAGGCTGTTAAACAGCTTTTCCCCTACAGCTATCAGACTGCTTAATTTGAGAATGTGAACTGCACTTAAAAGACTGTGCTTTTTAAATTCTATTTTAGTGAATTTTAGTTTTTTTTATTAGTATTCTTATTTATTAGCTATTTGTATCATATTGTTGTGCACTGAATTACTGAGGTGTGGATGTGTGAAACTTAATTTTGTTTTTATGTGAAGCATAAAAATGACAAATAAAGGAATCAAATCAAATCAAATGCTCACCAAGGGTGCATTTATTTGATGAAAAATACAGCAAAACAGTAATATTATGAAATATTAATAAGAATAATAAGAGTAGTAAGCTCAATTATTAATTATAAGAACCATTATTAATAACTGAGCATGAATAATAATTGAGCAGCAAATCAGCATATTAGGATGATTTCTGAAGAATCATGTGACACCGAAGACTGGAAATTTCAGCTTTGCGTCACAGAAATAAATTACATTTTTTAAAATATACATCTAAATAGAATACAGTTATTTTTAATTGTAATAATATTTCACGATATTACTGTTGTTACTGTATTTTCTATATTTTCATCAAATAAATGCATACACACACACACACACAATGAAAGAACCTTAATCTGTGGGTGAAATCATGTTTATTAGGTCACTGTGTGTAAAAATTATTTGAAGCGATATTTACTAAAGGACAAGATTCTTTGTCCTTTAACAGATTCTTCAACCATGTTTCTGAATCGCAGGGATAATTAGGAGTGTTGACAATATATTGAAGGCATTATGGGAAATAACGTGATGTGACAGGACGCAGTTAGAGGGAGTTCATTCACTTTGCACATGTACATTGATGATATTGTTGTTTACTTAGGCAGGCTCTCTTTTTTTCTTTCTCTTTTAAACCTCTAAGATAGAGTTCAGAGTGTGTTTTTAAAGTAATAAGTCTTAAGTCTTCATGGTGGAATTTGAATTTGATTGGCACACGGTTCACCACTCTCCTGCGATGATTAATTCAGTCTTAATCAAAACTACAGATTAAATTTTGCATTTGATCCCTCTGTTATATCCCTCATCATGCATACTGAGAGAATGAAGATGGCATTTTAAGTGCTTGAGCAGGTCTTTATCAGGATGTGTTTTTTGTTTCATGAATTTACAATGTCATTGTAAAAATCTAACCACAACAACAGTTTACATGTTTGTTTTCACTTAGATGACTTACGTCAACTGAAAAGGAATGTCATTTCAGAGCCTGAGCATGTTTCGATTTTTATTCAAATTCAGATTTCTTTTTGAATAACCTGCACCATGAATCAATGAATAGACAATAAGGCCATGTGTAAAGATGGTTGAATTTGGTTTCATGTTTACTTTAAAAAAGGTCATATCATGAGGAATACAAATCCTCGATCTTTTCAGAAAAACATGATATATAAATGATATATAAGTACCATACATGGTATTACATTTTTTTAAAAATCAGTTTCAGTCAGTATTGTGCATTTAATTATGCATGTTCATTTCTTCCTCATCTTCTCTTTTTTTTACATTTCTATTTGCTTACCTTTACTAAAACAGAAATACATTTCTTTAGCAAATATTAAAATAAATGTCAAATTTTCATATTTAGTGGTGCCTAAATTCATGATTGTTACATGATTCATATGATTGTCTAAATTCAGCATTTGAATGATTGATTTTAGTTTTTAGTGTTTTAATATTTTTTTCAAAATTATTTTATATTTATTACAAAATAGTATTGAATTTATCTGAAATTTTCTCATCCAGAACATGAGAATAATTGTCAGTTTTTCAGTTTCTGTTAGAATTTTAATATTGTGCATCCCTAAAAACTAAATCTAAACTAAACTTACATTAACTTAAACCACTTGATCAGAACTCAAAACTTCTTTTAAAGTCCAAAAAGAACATTTATTAGAAGTTAGAAATTAAAATATGTGATACGACCTCTTGAAATGTCACTGAATGACCTGGCTGTAGATTTTCAAATGAAAAGACTGGATTTAAATCTAAAAGCTGTCTGATTCTCTGTTGAAATAAATGTCTACAGTCTATCTTTAGATCAGATGAAAGGGCCAGGTTCATCATTATCTCTAGGAGGGAAAGGATACACTTTAATAGATGCTTCCCTTGAAGATTAGAGGGGTCAAAAATCTAATTTTTCTTATCTAAAATAGTGAGTGCCATGAAGCCAGGGCTTTCCCCCTGGAGCTCCCGTTAGCCTGTGGCCTGAAGACTTTGAAGGATGGTGTTCATGATTTAGCACAGCAGTTTGATGACATCTCTGTCCCACCGGCGCTCCGCTGAGGGTCATTCGTCAGACATGAGTGATGCGTATGAAGGGAACGAGTGTAGATTAGACATCCCTTTCTCCACTAAGTGCTTCCCTGGATCTCTTCTGTTTTGGTGTGGGCGAGCACTCCTTATGATTTCTTCAGAAAATGTCAGTGTGGCTCTTTACTTTAATCTCAT